AATAAATTTAAAAATATTTAAATTATATTACTTAATAATACTTATATATTTTGACTCAAAATATTTACCTGGACCATTTCAATTTTTAAACGACAAAACAGTAAAGTGTAAACCCTAAAGACCTTAAGTTTTGAATGTGTTGAATCGTGTATCCAAAGAGATAGTGTCGTTTGATGGTGTTGTGTTTTTTTTTTTTTTTAATGTGTGGATAAGTCTTTGTAGACCTCGTTTTGTGAGTAAAGATAATTGTTGTGTGCTCTTTACCATTTATCTGCATGTGTTTGCTGAGACTGTCGTTGTATATTTAGTTGGTCATCTCTGTAGCAACATGGGAGGGTAAATAATCCATCTAATTAACAAATCCTTTGGCATCTTTGCTAGAAACAGAAACAAAATTTGAATTCTTCTAGTTAAAGAATCATCTATGCAGCGTCTTCTGAATTATAAATTAAACAAATGAAACTCTTAACACTTTATCATAATCTCTCTTTATTTTTATTCACACCAAAAAAATGATTTAAAAACACCGAACCGAACCGATCTAGTTTGGTATGAAATATGGTGCACACTTTTCTAAAATTGAATACCAAAGAACCGAACCGAAATTTGATTAAACCGAACCGAAGAACCGAACGTCCACCCCTACTCAGCACATTCTTTTTGTATCTGGAATGTTCCCTTTCTTGGAGATGTTACTAGTTTTCTCCAGATAACCTAAGTTATTATAAATATATATATTCCCATCAAACGCTAATCCTAAAAGGCACCCAGACTCTGTTGTGTCATATCCAATTAAGTTTTTTGTTTGATAATCTGCGACGATGTGCTTTGTGTTGGTTTGCGATGAAGATGAAAGGGTTTTACGAAGAGAGAGAGCAAAAGGTGTAATTTGTCCTTATTGTGGAGACTCTGTTTTGTTCACATTTCATTCAAAACTAAACGTAAAGTTTCCTGTAATAGGCGTTTACTACTTCAGTAATCTCTCTCTTATCTTCTAGTTATTTCAAGGCTTTCCTTAAATCTATATTATTTTTTACTTTCTGTTCAATTCATTGCATCTTTTACTCCACCTGATCCTGAATGCATACTTTTCGGGTTCGTTGATGTTTTCTTAACCTTTTCGAAGATGTTGGAACATATATAATATATTCAGCAGAAACAAAATTATATTTGAATTTGCATAGATGATCATGTTTTTCTATGCTTCAATTACTTGTCGGTAGAGCAGAGATGAGGCCTCAAATGTCAGTTTGCGAAAGTTTTTATGTTAAGAGCTTAAATTTATGAATCTCCTTTTGTAGCTGCTGCGTGTTTTCTAGTTAATTATCAATTGGTTTCTGGTTGTTACTCCTACATATGTATGTTCCCTGCAATTTCAATTCATTCTATTCTGTAGATTTGTCTCACATTTGGTTTTGGTCCCATCATACTATATATTTATTACCCTCTACCTAGGTTAAATAAAAACCCAATGTAAATTTATGGGTTAGCTAGATCGTACGGAAAAGGGTCATATTTGTTTTGAACACCTCTATTCTATTCCCTCTTGAGAAGAATATGAGTGAGGGCTTTAGGGGTGCGATGAAAGGGGCTGGAGTTGAACAACATGTAACAATTGGCCAGGATTGAGAACTCAGAAGAAAAATACTTAAACAATAAGAAGGGGGAGGAGGATCATATATAAATTCAAATGCATGCCATGTGTATTCTGTTAAAGAATGACAAAAGTCCCACATCGGTGGTTAATGAGATGGGTGGACTCCTTATAAGGCTTGGGCAATCCTCCTTCCTTTGAGCTAGCTTTTGGGGTGTGAGTTAGGCCTAAGACCTAATTTAACATGGTATTACTACTTCAGTAATCTCTCTCTTATCTTCTAGTTATTTCAAGGCTTTCCTTAAATCTATATTATTTTTTACTTTCTGTTCAATTCATTGCATCTTTTACTCCACCTGATCCTGAATGCATACTTTTCGGGTTCGTTGATGTTTTCTTAACCTTTTCGAAGATGTTGGAACATATATAATATATTCAGCAGAAACAAAATTATATTTGAATTTGCATAGATGATCATGTTTTTCTATGCTTCAATTACTTGTCGGTAGAGCAGAGATGAGGCCTCAAATGTCAGTTTGCGAAAGTTTTTATGTTAAGAGCTTAAATTTATGAATCTCCTTTTGTAGCTGCTGCGTGTTTTCTAGTTAATTATCAATTGGTTTCTGGTTGTTACTCCTACATATGTATGTTCCCTGCAATTTCAATTCATTCTATTCTGTAGATTTGTCTCACATTTGGTTTTGGTCCCATCATACTATATATTTATTACCCTCTACCTAGGTTAAATAAAAACCCAATGTAAATTTATGGGTTAGCTAGATCGTACGGAAAAGGGTCATATTTGTTTTGAACACCTCTATTCTATTCCCTCTTGAGAAGAATATGAGTGAGGGCTTTAGGGGTGCGATGAAAGGGGCTGGAGTTGAACAACATGTAACAATTGGCCAGGATTGAGAACTCAGAAGAAAAATACTTAAACAATAAGAAGGGGGAGGAGGATCATATATAAATTCAAATGCATGCCATGTGTATTCTGTTAAAGAATGACAAAAGTCCCACATCGGTGGTTAATGAGATGGGTGGACTCCTTATAAGGCTTGGGTAATCCTCCTCCTTTTGAGCTAGCTTTTGGGGTGTGAGTTAGACCTAAGACCTAATTTAACATATTCATTCATCTTATTTCATACTTTATTCATGTCAATTAAGTGTGAATGATATACACTTATCTTTTAGGTGATTATCGATAGAGTGTGTTTCATAGACACACTTTGGACTTGGGCTAATTGAAACAAAGATGTAAAAATGAAAAATTATCACAAGTTTAAGAGGGGTCGTTGTGTGTTTACATAATTAGAATTGATGTAAAAGAGTTTAAAATACGTATTGTTGATGTGACATAAGAATGTCGACTGTTTTGACTAGAAATAATGAGCCAAGATGAAGTCTCATCAATAAACGAGTCCGTTGAGACCTATTCTGTAAACATGACTTACTTGTCATTTGGTTTTCAAAAGAAGGTAACGGTCAATGCATTCCTATACTACGAAAAGTATATGTATGGTTATACTATATATGGAAGCTTCTAAAATGTCTCTTTCTAATCTTAACTTCTCTCTATTTTCTAGCTAACGTGTGTAACTTGTAAGGTACTTTCCATGAAACGAATATGGTCAACTCATCTCAATTTTCACATTTATTTATTTACATGATGATTGTTATCGTAGTATTGTGTTGTATTATTAATTTAAATATAATGTTTGTTTTGATTGTTACTTAGATTTTATATATCGTATCGTTTACGAAAACACTCGTAACGGTCGATTTGGTGTGACTGCGTCGTTACTTAAATATTTTCTTCTCGGTCTTTATTTATTATTTGATAATCTACCTTTTCATATTAGATCTACTCGTACTCTACTTTTTTTAAGATTCATCATTCAAATTATGGACTTGTGATATTATGTAAAGACGGAGAACGATACAATCTATTCAAATATTGTATTCATTAGAACAATACAGTTACAATATAATACAATATAACATAATATAATACGATACATTATGAAATAATACGCAACAACCATCCAAACAAAAAGTGTTATTGAAATTTGAAACATTCAACGCTGTCACTATTCATTAGGTCCATATGGGGTAAATATGCTCACAAATTAACCACGTACATTTAATTACAAGGCCATTGCGACAAATTCTTCTGAGCTGACATTGATAGGGGAAATTAATCTCCGACTTCCCTTATGAAATACCACGTACTGCATCAACTACCTTATGACAACGGGCCTATTTTCACATTTGTCTGCTTCTGCTGTGTTAGCATATTTTATACACGCAATTGAACAGAAACAGCACTTCTGTTAAATTTTTAACTGCTTAATATATGTTTATATATCATAAGGATTGAATTACATCTTACCAATTATCATGCAAATTCACTACTATTAATTTTTATGTGTTGAGCAAACTTAAAGAGGGGAAAATGTTTTTTTTACATGTTAAATAAATCATCGTTTTTTAAGACTCTGGATACTACTGATCGTACAATTTTTTTCCAAGGGTATTAACTTAAGTTAATATTTAAACAGTTTAATATTGAAGATTCAACTTTGATGATCGGTTACAAAACTTACAAACATCGCTACCACAAAATGATCTAAAAATCCTGAATGATGTTATGTTTTGTAATTTAATAGTACAAGTTCACAAAATAGATAATTTTCCATATCAAATGTAGACTTTATTAATTTAAAAAATAGAGAAGAATCTACTTTAAAAATTATTTTAAGTGTATTCTCATGTGATGATGAATGCACCGAAGCCGCACTTTCGGACCCCTAAGCATTAACGCGTCCCAAGTCTTCAACAAAGAAAATTTGGCATTCCTCAACTCTATAATTTTATGACATACAAGTTTTTTTCTTTTTTAATAAATTTATTCATTAAGTTTTTAGCTGATATATTCAAAATCACAAAATTAAAAGATATTTTAATATATATTTTACGTATTTTTAATTTTTTGAATTTATGTTTTTTTAAACTCCGTACCAAGTTATATTGAAATAGGAGTATGCAAATAAGAGTTTTCGAGTTCAAATCCTTCTTGATAAGGAATTGGATTTTATTGCGAAGCGTTTTATCCTAATATCAAACTTGTTAATGTAAATTTAAATTTAATCAGACTTTAACATGAATATCGGATTCGCAAAGAGAAGAAAAAAGGGTATGCAAAAGCAAGATAGGAACATATATAAGACCCATTAAGGCAGGTGGAGACTCCCAAATAAAAATTTTGTTTATTCAAACACGAGACACGTCAACCTCTAATAAACATGAAAGTCAAAATAAGGAAGCTTCATAACCTACAATAGTCCATCTGAATGCTTCAATTTATTTGAATTTTAGTGCCACTTTCACATCTATCTAAGCCCTTACAAACTCCTATATATACAAAAAAATATCTTGGTCCAAAATAGAAATATTCATACAATATTTTCCTCTCTTTATTCTTGTAACAACATTTTCCCTTTATGGCTGATCAGCAAAAAATCCATCCGGTTTCGGTTCCGGAGCCGGTGCAGGTAGCCCCGCTACCCAAGCCCACAGCTCCGTTGGTGCCACGTGGCTCTTCCCGTTCAGAGAACGGGGATCCTGAACGTCAGCAACCACCACCACCACTGAAAAGATCGTTAACCCCATATTCACCCTTAAAACCACCAAAAAAGAAAAGAGGCTGCTGCGTAAGATGCCTATGTTGGTCATGTTGCCTATTTTTCCTACTAATCGTACTCATAGGCATCGCAGCAGCCGTAGTTTACCTAGTCTTCCAACCAAAATTACCAAAATACTCCGTCGATAGCATGAGAATTACCCAATTTAACCTCAACACTGACACGAGCTTGTCTGCGACATTTAACGTGAACATAACCGCAAGAAATCCCAACAAACGAATCGGAATTTACTACGAAAACGGAAGCCATTTGAGTGTATGGTACAAAGGCACAAATTTATGCGAAGGGAAATTACCTAAGTTTTATCAAGGTCATAGAAATACTACGCAACTCAACGTTCACTTAACAGGACAAACACAGAATGCTACAAATTTGTTACAATTATTGCAAGAAGATCAACAGAAAGGCAAAATTCCATTGAATATTCGAGTTAAGGTTCCTGTGAGGATTAAATTGGGCAAATTGAAGCTAATGAAATGGAAATTCTTGTTGAAGTGCAGCCTAAACGTGGATAATTTATCTCCGGATAATGTTATTCGGATTAGGGATAATAAGTGTAAGGTTCGTTTTAGGTTTTAATTGGTACATTATATTATTTTTCTTGATTACTATAATCCACCACGCACTATTTTATTTTTTGTCTACAACAATAAGGTGGAGGATTGTATATAGATAGATTGTATTAATTTTTTTCCTGTTGAGCTTGTTACAATAATGGGATGCGTTTATGCATCATTCTGTTCATACTATTTTGTATTTATAGTATAATTATTATTCCAGTTTGATTTATCTTCACTACTCTCTGTGTCATTTTAAATATTTAGTTAAATTATAACACATAAAATAAATAGTTGAATACGTATCATCATCAATTGATTGTTAGCACTTAGCAGGGGTGTTTCATAGTTTGATTTGAATTGAGATTTGTTTAAAATTAAAGTCATTTCCCTGCACTTTAGTCTTATTTACTTTGTTGACTAAAGTGCAGGCTGCTTTTACATACTTGCTGTCTGCTGAGAAAGTTGGCTAGAAAGATGTTATTTTATGAATGTGGACATTTTTCACTGAGGAATATGGCTTGTGGAGAAGTTTGGACTTGAAAAAAGAAAATAACTATATTCTTTTTTTGTAAATAGAACCATTCGGTCATTTAGTGTAATTGCCCCTACCTAACCTAACATGAGTTCGAACTAAACTCACCAAAAAAAAATTAAGTCAAGTTGAATTGCTCTAATGGTTAAGTACCTGAAAACTTCATGGACCTGAGCTTAATCCTTCAAACTGCTCCTCTTTGTCACCTGTGACTTCTAATTGCACCTGCTCCTTGGTGGACCATACAAAAGGGTCATTTGCTCGATTTGGTCTTCAATTTTATTTGGAAAAATTACAGAAATCTCACATTTTAGTTTACTTATTACCATTATTCCCTATAAGTTTTACAAATCTCCAAAATTCCTTATTTTCGCGTATCAGATTAGTGTATCAGCGCTTATATTATTGTATCTCGC